ATACTTTTGCATTAAAAAAAAACTATTTCTGTAGCTGATTGTGACAAAACAATTTTGTCTGTTCAAAATTAACAGAAAAAGCAAGTACTGGAGATTTATTGCATATTACATCTGAACTGTATCGGTACCGAACCGTTATTCTTGTGTTACACATCTTACACAAAAAAAAACAGATTAAGTAAATATAATTGTCACCGACTCGGTCCCAGTCATTCCCCTGCCTGGTAAATCACTCTGTGTCTGTCAGTCGCCAACCACACGATCTATATTGAATGCTGTTGATGTGAGTTCGCACTTTTGTGCGTGTTTTATGTTTGTGATTGAACTGTGTTTATTAAATACTGCAAAATGGATCCCTCCGTGTCAGTCTCCTCGTTACAATAATAATGTAACAATATATTATCAATGTTATACTTAACCTGATCTTATGTTTAAAAAGTGTATTAGCTATTACAGACTTTGGACTCCATTCAATCATTTTCTTTTCGGCTTGGTCTCTTTAGTAATCTAGAGTTGCCACAGCAGAATGAACCACCAACTTATCCAGCATATGTTCCACGCAGCGGATGCCCTTCCAGCTGCAACCCAACACTGGAAAACACACCTACACTTTGGCATATTTAACTTAGCCAATTCTCCTATACCGAGTGATTTACATGTTAAGTCAATGCAAACGCGTGAATAGACATCCTGCGGCGGGGATGATGCGAAGCGTTTGATGCACATTTCCCGCGAATTGCGAGTTCGAAAATCTGAAGAAAATTTTTAGCCTTCATTAAGCACATAAACACTGTTATTTTCTTCATGAAATCCATGTTAGCCATTTAGCTATGAAGCTAGAGTCACCGGGCAGACAGAAGCCCTGCCCGTTACTCGAATCTGCGTTTGTTCTGAAGTGAATTTGACACGCGAATGAAGCGGATTTGATGCACGAATGAAGCAAGTAACTTCAAATGTTCACATGGCTATTTACGCACGAATAGCGCAATTTATCCGCGCGTTCCGCGTCTGGTGTGAACGCAGCATTAGGGTCTGGGTGGGGATCGAACTATGGTCTACTGTGTGATTGCAGTAGTTCTTACTACATGAGCCGAGTCAGCAACTGGTGGCCCAAGAGCAGAGGAGGAACAAAGTTCACAACGTAAGAATTCCAAAAATACAGTCTTTAATGAAGAGAAATGGACAAAAAAGGGAGACAATATCTTTCTACAGCCAGGGTTGAAAAAAAATACAACAAAAGTAGGAAAGCCAAGCTTCCCAAAATACATACAAATTAAAACAGACCCAAGGGTCTCAGAACAATCAAATAAGAAAATAGCAAGCAAAGATCTTGAGAACAACGTAACTGTAGGGATGGCTGACGTGAAAGTGACGTTTCGACACAGTGTCGTGATCCCGAAGCGCAAGTGTTTCTAAACACTGCACCGAAGCATGATCCAAAACACCCAGGTCACATGACTAAAGTGTTTCAAAACACCTGGTCACGTGACTAAAGCGATTCAAAGCATTATTAATTTCAGAAGTGTTTCGAGACCTGGAGAATCTGCATTTGACTGACAGGGTCAAAACCAACATTCTGTCTCCTATGAGCCATGCGCACGTTGTTAATGTGCTTCAAATAACTTTTGGGTTCGAATCCCGACTTGTAAAAATACTTCAAAATCATGATTTTATCTTTTTAATCATGTTACTGTTTTATGGTGTAGTCTAGATAGGATACAGCTGCTGATACGCCTGATATTGCTTATAACACTGCAAAACAATAATTAATGTTTACAGTACTGTGATGGTTGGGTTTAGGTTTTGAGAAGACGTTAATAAAATACAATGGGAAATTTAATTAATAATATAAATAATTCTTGTTAATTTTTGGCCACAACTGTGTCTGATCTAGCAACAACCCTGTTTTATGTCCAAAACAAGACATATTTATTCACAAAGTGTTTATTCGGATGTCAGACCAATGTTGAAACCATACAAGAACACAGCATTTCAATCTGATATTAAGCATTTCAAAATAGCTGTATCAGCCTGGATTCAAACCCACTATCCCCGCATGGTAGTCAGGAACCCAACCTGCTCAACTAAATCACTTCAAGGTTCAATCCTATAAAGTGCTATTTGCTAAACTGTTCTTTGTTGAGGCTGTTTCAGCGCAATACAAAAAAAATGACCACTATGTAAAGTGGAGTGGGGTTTCGAAACGTTTCGAAGCTTCAACACATCTGCTTCAACTGTTTCAGTGTTTCATGAAGCCTTGCTTTGCCCAACACTACTTAACTGGACACTGGACAAGGCAGCTAAGAATAAGGGTTCCGCACTGAGAACAGAGAAGGATACAAAACAGTCTTATTTAGAGCAAAGAACAGGTGGTGGTGATTAGGCTGATTACAGGGGAGTTTAAAGGAACAGGAGTCACTACTGCCATCTAATGTTAAGGGGTATAGGACAATATGAATGCATCCCCTGGTGGCTTGAAGGATGTGATACAGTGTTGAGATATTACAGCATGTCTTTGGATGTGTGGGGGAAAACAGCGCACCCGAAGGAAACCCATGCCAACACAGGGAGAACATGCAAACTCCACACAGAAATGCCAACTGACCCAGCCAAGGCTCGAACCAGCGACCTTCTTGCGGTGAGGCGATCGTGCTACCCACTGCGCCTCCGTGTCACCCTAGACTTTGAACTCTCAACTATATTCAAATCAATATGCCTCCTAGCAAGAACATTAACAAAGACCAACACAGAATAAATATGCAAATGAGCAATAAATGAATGAGGAAGGCCTCTGTTTGGAGGAATGAATAAATAATATCATATAAAATAATCAAATAGTCTGAAGCTGCAGACAGAAACATCAGACTGAGGACAGAAACACACCAGCTCTGAGGTAAGAACACACACATCTACAGACTTTAATCAGAATTATTCAGATTTTTACAAAGTTATGCTATCAACTGATAACATTATTTTATATACATGATCATGTTTTTAGCCATATTCGCAGTAGTCCTCTACTTTTTCTGGGGGACATTAGAGAAATTTCTGTTTTACAGACATACATTGTGAATCTGACATGTCTTTCTGCTCTCACACACAACCTCTGTAAAAATTTCCAGAGCAAATTACCTACTGTTTTCAGCAAACTCTGTAGTCCTGTGAGAAATATAATCCTGTACTAGTGTGAATGTCTGCATTTGCCTTTTTGTTGGGTCAATGTGAAATGCCTTACTAACCTCTACTTTGCCAGTATTTAGGTGTTCAGTAATGGAGGCTATGCTGCAAAGAATTAAAAAAATTAACAAGAAGAGTCAGATCAATTAAATGGTTTAGAACAGAAATTCTGAATCTCAGTCCTGGAGGTCCGGTGTCCTGCAGATTGTAGCTCCAACCCCAATCAGATACACACCTGAGCTAGCTAACCAAGCTCTTACTAGGCTTTCTATAAGAATTTTTACAGGTGTGTTGAGGCAAGTTGGAGCTAAAATCTGCAGAACACCGGCTCTCCAGAACCGAGGTTTGAGAATGCCTGGCATAGACGGTCTACTATAAAATCAGTTTCAGGTAAAAAATACTTTCATTTTTGCAGTCAATTACATAATGTGAAAATTATAATATAACATTCATTTTAGTAGGTTTACTATATAAAGTTCTATAAAACTATCATGTCAAAATTTTGTGTTTTAAAAAAAAAAAAAAAAGTAAAATGTTTTAAACACTAAACAAGCAACAGTGTTTTACTTTACATTTCAAAGTGCTTAAATGTAAATCTACTATTTTAAAATACATTTAATAAAATGTGTTCAATGGCAGTAAATAAACTACAGTTTTACATATTCTGGACATGTTGTCTTGTGCAATGCTTATGTAACGAAGGGGCACAGAGGGATCCATTTGCAGTATATTTATTAAACACAGTTTAATAAAGACAAGCACACAGATTTAATGCGTGTGCGAACTCACATCAAACACAATAGTGTTACGTTGAAGGATAGACGACAGGTAATCACAGTCTAAATGTTCAGCCATGGGTCTGAGGCAGGCGGCGAATATCAAGGTTGGTGAGCAGGCTTGAGTTCAAAGGCAGGCGGCAGGGATCAAAGTCGATAATCAGGCAGAGGTACAAGGCAGGCGGCTGGCAGGATGAGGTCGAGGAACAAGGCAAGGCAAGGTAAGGTAAGGAACAGGAAAGCATGCAGTATAGAGCAGCGGTTCCCAAACTTTTCAGGCCGTGACCCCAAAAATGTCAATGCCAGTGAGTCGCGACCCCCAATATACTCTGAGGTGGTTATAAATACAGAAACCTTGCATGCAATTGAGCACATACGCTAATGCACCCAAGTCTATTCTTCTTTTAATTTTTTTAAATGTATGAGAGCTGTAAATGGGCCACAAAGTTTAACCAGGTGTTATGAAATCTGCTGCTTCTGACACTATTGCTTTGTCTTTAATACGTTGCTATCCAATAGAAGTAGTAACTATAAGCTACTATAGTAACTTTATATGGTATAAACAACTATTTTTCTCTTCAGTAGGTTATGGATGAAATATGGTAATTCTTATGGTTTAATAAAAATGGTATTGAGAACACTTGGTATTGAGAAACACTCAGTAGTGTTAGCCTGGGCAGAACAAGACTACCCTATGAATGAGTGTGTGCTGCTTATAAGCGTGAGCGTGGGTGATCAAGTGAATGCGCTTCAGGTGTGCAGGCTATCAATTTAAGTGGATGACGTAATGCTTAATAGTCCGGTGATGGTGACCTCTGCTGGCCAGCGAGGGGAATGACTGGGACCTAGGAGTCAGTGACAGCCTACATGTAAAACACAGGCACTCCTACCTTTGTACAAAACAGAAATGTTAGTACCATTTGAGTTCGTACATGAGTGAGAAACATTGAGTGAAAAGAATTGTAACTTGTCTTTTGGAAAACTAGCCTCGTTCAAATAGGGGTAAAGATGAATGTAAGAGTTTTTCAATGTGTTTTTTCCTCAGAAATGGCCCAGAAACTACAGTTCTTTCTTCTCCTCATTGGTCAGTGTGTTTGTAGTTTTACTTATAAATAATAGTTTCATTAGGTTTGACTCTGTTTTAAACCAAAACCTCTGTTTTAAACCCGTGTCTTTTTTCTTTTACATTTTTTTTCACAGCTCTCTGCTCCATATCTGAATGTGTTCAGCGTCAGTATCACTTTATTAATGAGATGAAGACCTGGACTGAAGCTCAGAGATACTGCAGAGAGAAATACACAGATCTGGCCACTGTTGACAGCATGAATGACACAACTGAGCTAATGAAAATTGTAAATAATGTACGTCTCTGGATTGGTCTTGAGAGGAAATGGCAGTGGTCTTCAGGTGATCCTGTGCTCTTTTTGAATTGGGGAGATAAACAACCTGACGGCAAAGATGAGTGTGCTTTTATGAGAAATGGAGAGTGGCATGATTGGCCATGCAACAAAGACTGTTTTTTTGTCTGCTACAACAGTGAGTACAAACTCTTACAACAAACATTGCTTGACAAAAGCTTCAAAAGGAAATTTAAATGTCACGATGGAAAACATTCTAAACTAAGTATAGATGCAAAACAAAATCTGTTGAGGTCAAATCCACTATGGTTGCGCAGTGGGTAGCATGATCGCCTCACAGGAAGAAGGATTCTGGGTCAGTTGGCATTTATGTGTGGAGTTTGCATGTTCTCCCAGTGTTGGCATGGGATTCCTCTGGGTGCTCCGGTTTTTCCCACAATCCAAAGACATGCAGTATAGGTAAATTAAATTGGTCGTAATGTATGTGAATGCAAGAGTATGGCTGTTTCCCAGAGTTGGGTTGCAGCTGGAAGGGCATCCGCTGTGTAAAAACATATGCTGGATAAGTTAGCATTCATTCCGTTGTGGCCACCCCAGATTAATACTGAAAATAATATGAATGAATATACTTAAAAAAGAAAACTGGAAAAGCAGTGTTGTATTATTAATTATAGTTTTAGAGGTTATTCTTTAAAGATTTAAAATTGTAAGTGAGGTTTATTTATAAACTAATTTCGAGAGGATCACGTGATTATGATTAAACACGACTGGTTATGCATTAACCATGTATCATCCACCAATCAGACGATTCCAAACCCACTATAAAGAGCCGGGGTTTCTCACAACAGTCATCTTTGATTTGAAGAATCCCCCCTTCCACCCCTACTCCTCCACCTTTCCCTTCAAAGGGCGGCACGGTGGCCCAGTGGTTAGCACTGTTGTCTTACAGCAGGAACGTCACCGGTTCTAGTCCTTTAACAGGCTGGCTGTCATTTCTGTGTGAGGTTAGCATGTTCTTCTTGTGTTCGCGCGGGTTTACCGCAGGTTCTCCGGTTTTCTCCCACATTCCAAAAACGTGCATTAAAAGTGAATTGATCAATCTAAATTTAGCACTATAGTCAGTCTCTCATCCTGCAGCATATCTCCTCATAGCAATCATTAAGTCATCAGCTCTTAACAAAAAGGGGAAGTTGTCGAGATCTACCTGAGCTCAAGGCTGCCCTCTCGCCCTGCAAACGGGAGGTAGCCCTGGGCCCAAGGACCTTTTGAGCTCAGGGCTCTCTATCGGGACAGCATGCCAAACTTGCTTATAATCAATCATCAGCTAATTGTGAACTCTTGAACCATACTTATAATAATAAACAACATGTACTCATAGCCACTCAACTTTTTTGGTAAGACAGGCTTTTCCTAAGCTTTTCCCACGACTTCTGTTTACATTCCAAGTAGAATAAGAATTAAATGATAAAATAATATTACCATTTGATTTTCTTAAAGGGAGCAGAGGACTGGTGTTTGTTAATGAGAGGAAGAACTGGACAGATGCTCAGAGTCACTGCAGACTGCATTACACCGATCTGGTCAGTGTGAGGAACCAGAATGAGAATCAACAGCTGGAGAAGTTCATTAATGACAGTCCGAAACCTGAACCAGGATCTGATGTCTGGATCGGTCTGTTCAGAGACTCGTGGCAGTGGTCAGATCAGAGCAACTACTCATTCAGTAATTGGAAACTTGGTGAACCAAATAATGTTGGAGATCATGAAAACTGTACAGCAGTTGAAAAGGATGCCCAGGGACAATGGATAGACATTTCTTGTGACCACCAGCTTCCTTTTGTGTGTCATGAAGGTGAGCAGATCCTCCAAACACACTCAATCCATCATCAGCTCCAGGTGCCTCATTTATCAACGCTGTGTAGGCACAAAATATTTGCGGTTTGACGCTCACGTTTGGATTTACTAACGATGAAATGAACATGAGAATGTGCTTTGTTCCACGCCAACTTCATGTCTGGCGTATGAGCATTTCTTGTGTGTATTTGTTTTATTTCCATTGGCGACTCCTAGAGGCGATTGTGTTAAATTGCACACTACAAAGTCTCTTTGAGCTGTGCAATAGCAGCTGTATGGGACGGGATCATCCACATGTCTAGCAGGTTTGTAAGGTTTCCTTACCATGCAGTTGACCAGCCAAACATTAAATCGATGGCCGGTTTTCCCAATGTAATCGGAGCGATCGACTCCACGTAAATTGCTATAAAGGTGCCATCTGAAGGTGAATTTGCATTCGTGATTCTGAAACATTTCCATTCAATAAATGTGCAAATAATATGTGATGCTCAAATGCTCTTAACAAATATTGTAGCAAGGTGTTCTTGGTCAACCCATGATTAATTCATTCTCGCAAACAGCATGGTTGGGATGAGGCTCCAAGGTGGCAGGCACTCGGGTCAGTTGTAGAGCGGGCGATTTGGCAGCTGAAATGCCGGTGGCGCTGCCTTGATAAGAGCCGAGGGGTGCTGCTATACCACCCATATAAAGTGTTCCTCTGAAACATCGGTGTCTCCAGCAGACAAGGATACTACTCCAGACATTAAAGTGTCGCCCACAATTGAGGCAACTCTCTCCTCAGAGGGTGTTAGTTCAGCATGACCTGTTGCCCGGCCTGTTCGGGCCACACTCTGACGGTGTGCTGCTGTTCTCCTCTTAACCTGAACCTTTACATCGGATCATTTCTTTTTAAATTCACTCAGTGTGATGTTTAGACCCCACTGCGTTAACCCTGTCAGCTAAACTCTCCCACTCTATATTTTTCTTTTGTTATTAATTCCAGAGGACAAACTTGCAAATAACACATTTTTTCTTCAGTCTACCTTCGATAGGAGCACCTCCTATTCACATTCGGTGAAGTTTTCTTCTTGCTTGCTTTTGCCATTGCTTTTTCCTCTGATTTGGCCTAAGTGGAGTCATTACCATATTCATATTGGTAAAAATGCAGGGAAGGGTTTTGCACTCATGCATATGCCCTCAGTTTCACGTTAATTCGGATGTACAAAGAGAATATGTGTGGGATTCCACGTAAGCAGCGTTTCACACGTTTCATACATTGGCCGTACGCAATGTTTCAGTATTAATTCAACGCAACTCGTCATACATGAGGCTCCAGTTCTCTTAAAGTTGACTCTACATGTCTGACATGACAAATTCCTCCACAGTGTTTGTTCTGCATGTTGTTGTTGATCAGTCTCTCTCTAGTTTCTGCTTTGTTTTGTGTCCAGATAAACTGATTGTGATCCAGCAGAATCTGTCGTGGTCTGAAGCTCTGAGATACTGCAGACAGAATCATGTGGATCTGGTCTCGGTTCAGTCAGTGGAGATGCAGTATGAGGTGATGAGCGATGTTAAAAAGGCGTCTACTGAGGCGGTGTGGTTGGGTTTGCGTTTCTCCCACATTTTGGGCATCTGGTTCTGGGTGAGTGGAGAAACCGTGTGCTATCAGAACTGGGCTCCAGGGAACGGCACATCAGAGGAGAACTGTGAGGCCACAGTGAGATCTGGAGCAGTTCAGTCTGGAGGAGATCAGACCTGGATCAGCCGTCCTGAAACTCACAAACTCAACTTCATCTGCAGCAAATATTAGTGAATGGAAACGCATATCTGTCATGCAAGATTATTGTGTGATCCCTTCCTATGATTAACTTTTATTTTTTTATTATTCTTCTTAAAGCATAGCTGTCATATAAAATAACAAATCTGTGATAACTTCTTTCACATTTATCTTGATTATTTACAATCTTCAATATCTGTAAGATGAATCAGTGAGGGTTTGCTTTATTTTACAAGTGCTGCAGGTTAGTTAATAATTTCATGTTTGTTTTGTACATCTACCTTTTTAGTACCACATATTTTGCATATAGCTTTGCATAGATTTTTATTAGTTTTCCATTAAGGTCATTTGCTCCTATCAATATTTAAATTAATTAATTTAATAATAAAAAATAAACACATGAGGTTTCTGCTTCACTTGCAAGCATTTTAGGGATCTTCTTCTACTTCTCCATATTGTATCATTAATATTGTGAATAAAGTTTAAAAAGAATAAAGTCGGCTTAGTCCCTTAATTAATCAATTAATTAATCAAGGGTCGCCACAGCAGAATGAACCACCAACTTATCCAGCACGTTTTTACGCAGCGGATGCCCTTCCAGCCGCAACCCATCTCTGGGAAATATCCACACACACACACACACACACACTCATACACTATGGACAATTTAGCCTACCCAATTCACCTGTACCGCATGTCTTTGGACTGTGGGGGAAACCGGAGCACCCAGAGGAAACCCACGCGAATGCAGGGAGAACATGCAAACTCCACACAGAAACACCAACTGAGCAGAGGATCGAAACAGCGACCCAGTGACCTTCTTGCTGTGAGGCAACAGCGCTAACTACTGCGCCACTGCTTCGCCTATATATGTTTTAATATATGTTTTAATACAGGTTTTAATATAGGTTTTTTACAGGGCCGTGCACAGAGGGGTGGAATGTCATGAGCCATGTCTGATCTCATTAATTCTATCACTCTCTGTGTTGCTTTTTGCCTCGCAGCTGTAGGTCCTCCCCATTAACTATCATTGCATTAGCACCTGCCTCCACTTGTTGCTCATTAGCGTCCATATTTAATCCTCTGTGTTCTTTTTCTGTGTCAGATTATTAAACCGTATTTGTGTTACATCTCGCTGTTTGTGGATCACCACTCATTAGTCCTGTCCATTAAGTCCTGCCCAGCGTGCTTTCATTGTGTGTGCTCTTACCTCCACTCTGCTCTATCAGTCCTCAAGTACCTGTCTGCATCCTGTTTCCTGTCGGGGTTTGTCAGCTATCGCCAGCTCTCCTGCTCTACTCCTCCACTGACCTCTCTGGCAGGATCCATCTGTTTACATCTGAAGTTTCGTTGATTTCTCCAGTGCTGCGCACTGCCGAGGCTCTACATGCGGCAGCCTGCCTGAGTTGAACTTTTTCTTAATAAACTGTCCTTGTTTTCCCCACACCTCTGGTATTCTGTTTGGTCTGTTACAGAATAATCTGACCAACATGATTCCTTCTGGAGAGTCCACGATTCGAGCGACAGGGAACACTGCTTGGTCGTCATGAAGAGGACCTATCGGCCACCAGATATACCGTGGAGAGTCTGGTAGTGAAGGTTACTGAACTGACCAGCTGCAACTGTTAAGGCCTGGAGGGCTGGCTGGTTTGGAGAATCTCCCTTTAGGGGAACCACGCATCAATAACCCCCTTTGTTACTCCGGTCACCCGACCCAGTGCAGAGCCTTCCTGACCCAATGCGAAGTGATCTTCTCTCTCCAGCCAGCCACTTGCGCAGAAGATCGCATTCGGATCACTTTCGTACTCTCCCTCCTCACTAGCCAGGCGAGAGAATGGGGCACCGCGGTCTGGCAGTCCAACTCAAGAGTTTGGTTCTTGCTTTTCGCTGTTTAAGCAGAAGATTGTCAAAGTTTTCGACCGATCAGTGTTTGGACGTGAAGCCTCCCGTCAGCTTGCTGCCTTCCGCCAATCTAGAAGATCAGTGGTCGACTACGCCATCGAGTTCCACACATTAGCGGCGACTAGTCAATGGAATGAGCCCACCCTCATTGCTCGATTAATTGACGGTCTCAACGCTAAGGTCAAGGAGGAGCTCTTTTCTCGGGAACTACCTCAACACTTCTATCAACTTGCTGAGTTGGCCAGCCGGGTGGATAAACGCATGGAGATGCGCCACCGTTCCCGCAGTGATGCTTCCAAACACCAGCCACAATCTCCTTTAGCTGGTTCCCTGGTCGTCACTTTGCCGGACGCTGAGCCGATGCAACTAGGGAGGCTGCGCCTCTCCTCAGCGGAACAGCAGCGCCGCCTGACGGAGCGGAGGTGTATGTATTGTTGCGATCTGGGTCATTTTGCGTTCTGATGAAACAACCTCTTTAAACTTTGACTTTTTGAGTGTTTGCAGAGTTAATAGGAGAGGTGGAGGCATCGCTACCCTGTTTAAAGATGTGTATGAATGTAAACAAGTGTCACTTGGTGACTATTTGTCCTTTGAATATCTGAGTATAGCACTGAAAGGTGCTCCATGCATCTTACTGATCATTATCTACAGACCTCCAAAATATTCTCCAGTTTTTATTGATGATTTTACAGAGCTGTTATCAATAGTAACATCTGAATTTGACTGTTTTACTATTGCTGGGGATTTTAATATTCACATTGATAATCCAGAAATGAATGCTGTAAAAGAACTGATGACACTTTTGATCTGACTCAGCATGTTCAAGGTCCCACACACAATCGTGGATACACTCTTGATCTGCTCATAACTAAGGGTTTACACATTTCAACAACTGTTGTTAATGATTTTGCACTGATGATCTGATCATTTCTTTATTTTCCTTGATATATTGATCACTCCTGCTATTAAAGACAGATCTGTCTCTGTCAGAAAGAGATGCATAAATGAGAACTGCTCACTGCAGTTTATGAAAGCCATATCACTAGCACCAAGTATATCTGGGGTTTACTTTCTATCCAAGACTAAAAAGGGCATGTGCACTGCACAGATTGAGCCCTATGTGTGCATGTGCCTGATTCTCGCACACTCTTTGCAACGATAGAGACTCACAAACGCCCCCAGTTGGATTCCAAGTGAGCTCCTCTCTGAAAGCAAATGTAATGAGTTTGCTCACTGAAAAGATCAGTAATATCAGAAAGGCAATCAGCTCATCCAATCAGCCAAGTTGTGTCGAAGTCAAACCAGCTCAACCACAACTTAAGAAATCAAACATTACTTCTGATTTCATGGCAATTAACGGCAAAAGCTTAGAAGAGACTGTGCAAATTGTGAAAACATCAACCTGCAGTCTTGACACGCTCCCCACATCATTCTTCAAAACGGTGTTTACCTGTTTAGAAATGGATCTTCTAAAAGTGGTAAATGCTTCTCTTCTCTCAGGGATTTTTCCAAACTCAATTAAAACTGCAGTTGTTAAACCCCTCTTGAAGAAGAGCAACCTGGATAACACCCTATTGAGCATTTACAGACCGTTTCATCTCCCTTTCATTGGCAAAAGCATTGAAAAAGTTGTATTTAACCAGGTTAACAACTTCTCAAACTTCAGGGGGTGTTTAGACAATTTTCAATCTGGTTTCAGAGCACATCACAGTACAGAGAGCGCTCTTATAAAGATAATCAATGATATACGCCTAAATACAGATTCAGGCAAGCTAACAGTGCTGGTATTGCTCGATCTCAGTGCTGCATTTGACACTGTCGATCACAGCATACTTCTGGATAGGCTGGAAAACAGGGTTGGGCTGTCTGGGACGGTCGTCAAATGGTTCAGATCTTACCTTGAAGGGAGAGGTTACCATGTCAGTATAGGTGACCATAGGTCGAGGTGGACACCCATGACATGTGGAGTCCCACAAGGCTCGATTCTGGCACCTCTCCTGTTAAACCTTTACATGCTCCCTCTAAGCCAAATAATGAGAAAGAACCAAACCTCCTACCACAGCTATGCTGATGACACTCAGATCTACCTAGCCTTACTGCCTAATGACTACAGCCCCATTGACACCCTCTGCCAGTGCATTGATGAATAAACAGTTGCATGTGCAAAAACTTTCCTCAGTTAAACAAAGAGAAAACTGAAGTCATTGCGGAACTCAGAGCACATCACACCTGTCCTCAGGTCTTTACACTGGCTCCCAGTTACATTCAGAATAGTTTAAAGTGTTATTACTTGACTATAAATCACTAAATGGCCTAGGACCTCAATACATTACAGATATGCTCACCGAATACAAACCTAACAGAATCAGCTTCCAGAAATGATCAGATGTGCTCCAACATTAGGCACATTCAAATCAAGACTGAAAACACATCTGTTTAGCTGTGCCTTTACTGAATGAGCACTGTGCTACATTCGACAGATCGCACTATTATGTCTTTCTTTTTTCATTATCTTATAACCTATTTTAACACATATTTATGTTCTTATTTTTATAATTCTTGTTATTTGTTTTCATTTTCTTACACTTGTTTCTTTTATTCTTGTTTATGTAAAGCACTTTGAATTGCCACTTTGTATGAAATGTGCTATATAAATAAACTTGCCTTGCCTTGTCTATTTTATCGCATCTGCATAAATACAGATTATCCTCAGTATTTAATATATTACATTATATCATTTAATTCAGGTTAGAAAAGACTAAAGAGATAAAATAGCTGGTTTTACATGTTTATTTCAGCTGGTGTTGGTGATACAAAAGGATTGTAAATATTTTAATAACCAACTTTATTTTTAAAGAGTAACCATTATTTAATTTCACTGAGGTAAATAATGCTCAGTGATTCACATTCAAACCAGTCATTTTAATATAAATCTATATAAATCATATAAAGACATGATAAAAATAATAAAGACAACTCTATAGGTGAAAAGGAATTACCATCATGCCTATAGCCATTATACAGGGACATATAAAACACAAGAAATTCAGAAAACACATGTATAAAACTGAGCAGATGCCAGATATTCATTATACAGACACGGGTTCACAGAAGCTTCACTCACAAATAACAAAGCACTGAAATTTATAATCATTTTTCATAACATATGAAGTATTAAAGCTTCATATGAAATCACACGACTATCCGTTTAATGAAACCACAATACACTAAAAATGTTTTTAAGTCCACATATGAGTAAAATGTGGACAAAACTAATTGCTGTTTTTTTTTTAAATGTAATTTATAGAACCAACATTTGGGTTTCTCTATATTTTACCCAATTTGAGTTGAGATAACTCTGCTTTTTTAGAGTGCAGATTTAGAAAGATTATAAAAGCCCAAAAAATGTGCTTCAAATATGCTCATCACTATCATAATGCGTTAATGCCTACTGAAGTTGAATATTTTTTGTAAAACTATTACTTCAGTAAACAATTTTCACATACGTCATCTTACTTCTTCACTCTCAGTAGTTTCTGCAGATGAAGTTGCGTCGGTCAGTTTCAGGACGGCTGATCCAGGTCTGATCTCCTCCAGACTGAACTGCTCCAGATCTCACTGTGGGCTCACAGTCCTCCTCTGATGTGCCGTTCCCTGGAGCCCAGTTCTGATAGCACACGGTCTCTCCACTCACCCAGAACCAGATGCCCAAAGCGCAGGAGTGACGTAAACCCAACCACACCGCCTCAGTAGACGCCAGTTTAACCACGTTCATCACACGACACTGCATCTCCACTGACTGAACCGAGACCAGATCCACATGATGCTGTCTGCAGTATCTCAGAGCTTCAGACCACGACAGATTCTGCTGGATCACAATCAGTTTATCTGGACACAAAACAAAGCAGAAACTAGAGAGAGACTGATCAACAACAACATGCAGAACAAACACTGTGGAGGAATTTGTCATGTCAGACATGTAGAGTCAACTTTAAGAGATCTGGAGCTGATGATGAGTGTGTTTGGAGGATCTGCTCACCTTCATGACATACGAAAGGATACAGGTGGGAAACACAATTGTAGTCACCCTATTGTCCGTGTGTGTTTGGCTGAATCGCTGCACAGTATGCAAAATCTTTAAAATTATCTGCCCAGTATCTGAATGAGGAGTTGCTCTGATCTGACCACTGCCATGGGTCTCTGAACAGACCGATCCAGACTTCAGATCCAAATGAGATTGTGTCATTAATGAACTTCTCCAGCTCTTGACTCTCATTCTGGTTCCTCACACTGACCAGATCAATGTGATTCTGTCTGCAGTAACTCTGAGCGTCTCTCCAGTTCATCGTCTGATTAACAAATACCAGTCCTCTGCTCACTTTAAGAAAATCAATTAAAAACATTATTTTATCAGTTTATTCTTATTCTGCTGTATGTTTTGTATATGAACAGAAGCAGCGTTAAAAGAAAAGCCTGTGCTATGAAGAGTTGAGTTGTTATGAGTTTATCTTGATTAGGACTATAATTCAACATGTTTTTCTGTTGGCTTTTAAGTCAGCATTGCAAAGCATATTTGACTTGAAATTTTTAGATTTGTTTTCACTGTAGATTTGATTATTTAGAAAAATGTGATCTACATTTCCATTCAAAGTTTCTTTTGTCAAATGAATGTGTGACGGGTGTTAATAAGAGTATTAATTTAATGCATTTCACTAATAGTCCCTCCTTTTTAATTTTCGTGCATTTGTTTTGCATCAATTTGTTTAGACATATGTTAGAATTTAGTTTTTACTCTATTTGTGTTGTTTAATGAAAATAGTTTTATATTTGTTTTGCGCGCAACGTTACTTCCGGTTGCCGCGCTACGTCACTTCCGGTTGCCGCGCTGGGTTCTCAGACCGCATTGAGCGCGCTGAGGAGAGGTGGGGAAATTTACAAACGAAATCATATCAACTTACTGTGCTGTTTTCTGATTCATCCAGTTTGCTCTGATCTGACGCTTGAGTGACAATAAACCCACCATCAGCAGCACCAGTGGCCTGTCTCATTATTGTACACAACGCAGAGAGTGCGAACACCGGTTACAGTGGTGCCGTGACCCGGATGAAGATCAGCTCTTCTGGAATCTTCATCCAAAGATCAATGTCGTTTGGTCGCCGGTGGATGCTGCACTTCGATCAAGGTTTTGATGAACTGTGATAGAGAGCATTGCACTTTCATCAAACTGGACACTTCACTATATCCTTTCTTTATTTCTATTTGAATTTAATATACCTGTTTTCCTGTTTAACATATATATTTTTTGGTAGTTGTTCTCCGATGCTGGTTTATCTATTCTAAAATTTTATTCAATGTTTGATCATTTACATGCCAATAAGTAGTAATGGCATATGGTTTCAAAGCAGACAGTTTTAAGGGTGAGGAGAACATGTCAGATTTAACTTTCGGAAGGGGAAGACTTTTTGCTAATTCATCTACGCCTGTTGCAGGGAGGGGTAGTGTGGGACGAACTTCTGAATTTTGTTCTACCCGGGTAACTGAACAAACACCTAGTCAGTTAAGGAGTAACCCATTTTTGGCTAGCCCAGATTTAAATGATACTGCATGGCAAAATCTCATAACACACATTGCTCAAGAAGTAGGACAGACTTTGATTTCTGTTCAAGGTGGGGGAAGGTATGGGGAAGGAGAAACTAATAATGCACAGACACAGAGTCCAGTTGCTGGTCAGTCATTCACAGAAACACCCTCACTTAATTTGACAGGAGTCAAATTAGTCATGCAATCTGAAGTAAGAGAGCCTCCTGTGTTCCGAGGTGATGGAACAGATAAGTTCACTGTGCATGAGTGGGAGGATTTACTGGACACATACCTTCGTAAAAGAGGCATACCAGCTTCCGAGCATTATCATGAAATCCTTTCCAGGCTGCTGGGTAAGGCCAAAGACATTGTAAAAATAACCCTACGCAGCAACACATCTCTAAAACCTTCTGAGAACCCCAGAGTGATATTCGATATCCTAAAGCAACATTTCAGTGAAGTCAGATTCTCCTCTATGCCTTTAGCAGATTTCTACAGCACAGTTTCCGTTATTGGAGAGAACCCAGTTGAGTATTGGGTCCGGTTGAATAAGGCTGTGGATGCTGCTGAAGAGGCTTTAAAAAGACTTGGGCGACAGATGGATAATCCTTGTCAGGAGGCAGCCATGATGTTTGTCAAATACTGTCCGGACCCCAGCTTGTCAGCCGTTTTCCGTTTGAAAGCAGCAGACAAGTGGACAGCGAGTGAGGTACAAGAGCATCTAGACAGATATCAGGTTGAGCAAAAAGAACAGTTGGCAATTAAATCTAAGCGCAATGTTACAATGAGGAATGTTGCAGTTCACCGACAGTCACTCGTGGAGAATGAGATGATGGCTAGTGGCTCCCCAGTCGTGGCATCTGAACATTCTAACTTGAGTATTTCATCTTCTACACAGAATGATGATAACTGTATGAAAACACTCATCACCTTACTTGACCGTGCGCTCTCCCAGAATTCTCAAGCTGAAATGAGTAGTCCTCGACAGAGCCAACCGCCTACGAGAGCTTGTAAGGTGTGTCGTTCATATGAACATTCAACTCTCTCACACTGCCGACGTCAACGACTCTGTCTTGCTTGCTTCCAACCTGGGCACATAAAAAGAAATTGCGTAAATAGTCAGCATGGCTCTGGCAGCCAGATAACACAGCAATCGCAAGGTTCACCGACTTTAAAATAGTCGACCCACACCTGGAGAGGGGACGTGTGGGTAGGGTAGGACAAACCCTCGAAGATGTAGATCTTAAACAAGTTTATGAGAAGGCATGTGCGCAGGCTCCGACTGAAGTCAAAGTGATCGCACAGAATATGCAAACTTTAGAAGTGTTTGATGAATTGTTTTATGCACCTGTCTATGTGAATGATAGATTCCAGATAAAAGGAATGTTGGATTCAGGATCTATGGCATGCACTTTTAGTGAAGCGGTAGAAAGTCGGATGCTCTGTGAAGATGTGTTGCCAAAACCCTCACCTTTGTCCCAGGAAATAATGCTAATTGGATGCGGAGGTAAAATAACCAAACCAAAATGCATGTATGAAGTCGAGCTAAAGGTGTATGGTGAAAGATGCTTGGTGCCTGTTCTAGTTGTACCAGGGCAACGAGACGATTTGATAATTGGTACCAACGTTATTAAGTTTCTCATGCACCAAATGAAGATAAGTGATGATTACTGGAGGATTTTGTCTGACAGTGTCTCAGGGCCACCTACGTCATGCGAACAATTCCTTGATGTTATGGCAAATACTTGCCGCTGGAGAGGCGGTATTCCGCCACACAAGGTTGGGACTGTCAAGCTTCGCCAGTCAGTTACTCTAATGGCCAAACAAGAACACCTTGTCTGGGGAAAGTTACCAAGAGACACTGCTATATCGCCTGGAAGCACTGTAATAGTGGAAGCCACTTCTTCTAGAACCATGCCACGGGACATTATCATAGGTCGTGTTGTCACACCCTTGTGGGGAGATCATTGGGTTCCCCTGAAGGTCACTAACCTGTCAGATAAGCCAATCACCCTCAAAAGGAATTGCAAGTTGGCTGATGTGTATCCGTGCCTTGCCGTGGAGGATTTTGAGCTGTTTCAAGGTTTCAGTGGAGTCCAGTTGCCCACACCTGATAAAGATCCACAACCTGTTACTGCAGGGGACCTGAAAAAGAGACTGGAGACTGTTAGTCTCAGTGATGTTGACATAGACTCTTGTTCTGCCAGTGATACGGCAAAGGAAAAGCTAGTCCAATTGCTAGAGACTTACCATGATGTATTCTCCAAACATGCCTTAGATTGTGGGGAGGTCAGAGGCTTTGTTCTCCGCATCCACTTAACTGACGATCGCCCATTTCGACTTCCATACAGACGAGTACCACCCGCTCACTACCAAAAATTACGTCAAGTTCTCTCAGAGATGGAAGAGCAAGGAATCATACGTAAATCAGTAAGTGAATATGCCTCACCTTTGGTCTTAGTATGGAAGAGAGATGGCAGCTTAAGGATCTGTACGGATTTCAGATGGCTAAATGCTAGGACTATTAAGGATGCGCACCCACTCCCGCACCAATCAGACTGTCTTGTTGCCCTCGGTGGTAATACCCTCTTTAGCACGATGGATTTAACATCGGGCTTTTATAACATCCCAATGGCTGAAGAGGATAAAAAGTACACCGCATTTGCAACACCTGTAGGTCTTCATGAGTACAACAGGATGCCTCAAGGGTTGTGTAACAGCCCAGCATCTTTCATGCGTATGATGTTAAGTATCTTTGGGGACCTGAATTTTAGTAGTTTGCTGTGCTACTTAGATGACTTGCTGGTGTTTGCACCCGACGAGACCACAGCCTTGGAGCGGTTAGAGATGGTATTCCAACGATTGAGAAGCTACAACCTTAAATTAAGTCCGAAAAAGTGCCATCTGATGCAAGCGTCTGTTAAATTCTTAGGCCACATCGTTGATGGTAATGGTGTTTCCGTTGATCCTTCGAAGGTTGAAGTCATAGCCAAGCTCTCAAAAACTGACCTCATGGAAGAGGACGGGTGTACTCCGTCTGTACGTCGAATAAAGTCTGTCTTGGGAATGATCCTCTATTACCAACATTTTATTCCAAATTGCTCTTCAGTTGCCAGACCATTGTTCTCCCTAACAGCTGGGCAGAAAAGAAGAACAAAATTAAAAACTGAGGCTAAGGCAGGCACATATCGAAAACTGAAGCCAGTTGATTGGACCCCAGAATGTGATGATGCTCTCTCTAAGTTGAAAGAGAGTTTGTTGCAGAGCGTGGTTTTAGCGCATCCCAATTTCTCACTTCCCCTAATCCTGTCAATTGATGCTTCTTTGGAAGGACTTGGAGCTGTGCTGTCACAGATACCAGCTGGTGAAGAAAAAGCACGTCCCATTGCATTCGCAAGCAAGTCCTTAACCAACTCTCAAAGGAGATATCCAGTGCACAAGCTCGAGTTTTTAGCCCTAAAGTGGAGTGTGTGTGAAAAATTCAGTCACTGGTTAAAGGGCCACACATTCACAGTGTGGACCGACAATAACCCCCTCACTTATATATTAACAAAGGCTAAACTCGATGCTTGCGAACAGCGCTGGGTATCTAAGCTTGCTGCTTATACTTTTGATCTCAAGCATATTGCTGGAAGTAAAAATACTGTAGCTGACGCTTTAAGCCGGGATCCGTTTGCGCGAACCATTGCTCGTAGGCTCATAACCGAGCAATATGGGAGTCTGCTTTCTGAGGCTGAAACTGTCGACAAAGATGGAGTTCAGGACACCTTCCGTTTGCAAGCAAACAATCTATATGTGTCAACTCTGACAAGCCCAGTTTCCTGTGATCAAGTGACAGTTAAAACTCTTTTGAACCTATCGGAGCAGTGGAAAGCTGTAACTGAGCTAAGGGCTATGCAAGCAATCCAATATATCCAAGATGCAACGACTACTGGATTTGATCCAGTTTCAGCGATCCCTATCGAAGAGATTCGTCGGGGTCAAGAAGCAGATCCCTCGATTTCTAAGATAATGCCCTATCTGGAGAAGCAAAGAAGGCCATCAAGACGAGAGGTGGTTGCAATGGATGCTGTGACTCAAATTCTTCTTAGGCAACTAGATCGTTTGAAGGTTCAAGATGGAGTAGTTTACCGTGTTTGCAAGGACCCATCAAGCACACACAAGAGGTTCCAACTTGTAATGCCTAGTAGCCTTAAGGCTAGAGCCTTAACTGGTGTGCATGATCTTGCTGGACACCAGGGAAGGTCAAGAACTCTTCAACTAGCTCGACAACGCTTTTTCTGGCCTCGGATGGAGCGTGACATAAGAGAGTATGTTAAATGTTGTCAGAGGTGCATATTGGCCAAAACACCAGAGCCATCTGCTCGAGCCCCACTTGAGAACATCAGGACTTCAGCCCCTATGGAGTTAGTGTGTTTGGATTTTTGGAGTGCGGAGGACAGCAAGCAACGCTCTGTGGATGTATTAGTCGTGACGGATCACTTTACAAAGTTGGCCCATGCTTTCCCATGTGTAAACCAGAAAGCAAAACAAATTGCAAAAAAACTGTGGGATCATGTCTTCTGTATTTATGGTTTTCCATCTCGCATTCATACAGATCAAGGGACCAACTTTGAAAGTACCCTCATCGCAGAGTTGCTTAAGCTGGCAGGTGTTGAGAAGTCGCACACTACGGCATACCACCCCATGGGGAACGGAGGAACAGAGCGATTCAATCGGACCTTGGGCAATATGCTTCGCTCCTTGCCTCTTAAGGAAAAACAGAAGTGGCCCGAACAAATACAGACTTTGACATTTGCGTATAACTCCACCGTGCATGAGACCACGGGTTATGCGCCATTCCAGTTAATGTTTGGTCGCATTCCCAAGCTGCCAGTTGATGTTGATTTTGCGCAAGCATTACATGATCCCGTGATTGTTGATTATGGCAGTTACGCAAAAACACTTATGTCTTACCTTCATGAAGCTGCATGCATTGCGCAGAAACACACAGAGAAGGAGCAGAAAAAGCAGGCTAAGAATTACAATCGGAAGGTCAAGGGCATGTGTCTGAACGTTGGAGATAGGGTGCTTCTTGCAAACAAGAGTGAACGAGGAAAGAAAAAACTTGCAGATAAGTGGGATCCAACTGTTTATACTGTAAGAGACAGAAATCTTCAAACAAACATATACAAGCTGGTTGACAACAATGGAAAATGCAAAGTGGTGCATCGCAACCTGATACTGGATATTAGCTTCTTACCAATTGAACAATCTCAAGATGAAGAAGATACTCAGCCTACTGCTGAGAATGAGGAAACAGAGTCTCATGCACCAGAGTTATCCAGTTTGGAAGAGGAAGAGAACTTTGATGGAACGGAAGGATGGATACTTGATGGACAGGATGAGAGTGAAAGACAAAAGCCTGAAGAAGATGATGACATAGGATCCAGTTGTTCTAATCTAAGTGAAGGCAGTTTCTGTGAACAAGACCTTAATGCAACTGAAGTCAATGAGGGTAGTCCTGATCCGGTGTCCGATTTAGAAACTGCGTCCTTCACCAAAAACTCTGAACCACGACCACATACATTAAATGATCCAGATGATAACACCATATCTAACGCACCAACACATTGTCCCACTGACACACAGGGTGTTAAAACCCGTGCAGGTAGAATGGTAAAAAAAAGTTAGCCGCTTGATAGAATCTATGGCGCAAAGGCCATTTTATGTTCAGAGGGTTGGCTCACTTTTAACAAGGAGATCAGGATCAGTTCTTTCCTTATTTTAGATCAGTTTTGTGATGATGCAAAAATAACAATTAAGTATGTGCGCCGTAAGAATTTCAGTTAAAATCTTACCAGATTATTGTATGTTGTACAAGGCAGCATATTGTTCTAAGAATGTCTAGGACTTGATCAACCTTGGGCTTTTCTTAACCCGTTAAGTGGGTAACTTGCAATGTTGAACTGCGAATAAGATTTGCTAAAAATCTGGTTATGATAGATCGATGTCATCTCGGTCAGGATATTAGTGAAATTCAGGAGGGGTGAATGTGACGGGTGTTAATAAGAGTATTAATTTAATGCATTTCACTAATAGTCCCTCCTTTTTAATTTTCGTGCATTTGTTTTGCATCAATTTGTTTAGACATATGTTAGAATTTAGTTTTTACTCTATTTGTGTTGTTTAATGAAAATAGTTTTATATTTGTTTTGCGCGCAACGTTACTTCCGGTTGCCGCGCTACGTCACTTCCGGTTGCCGCGCTGGGTTCTCAGACCGCATTGAGCGCGCTGAGGAGAGGTGGGGAAATTTACAAACGAAATCATATCAACTTACTGTGCTGTTTTCTGATTCATCCAGTTTGCTCTGATCTGACGCTTGAGTGACAATAAACCCACCATCAGCAGCACCAGTGGCCTGTCTCATTATTGTACACAACGCAGAGAGTGCGAACACCGGTTACAAATGCTTGTTAAAGTGGTTTGTACTCACTATTGTAGCAGATGAATAAATGGGTGTCACTACATGCTTCAGCAAACCATTGTCCATGTTTTATTTTACCACAATTATTATTGCTGTATTGTCCAGGATTTCTGTTAAAAAAGGGATCACCTGAAGACCAATGCCAATTATAAACACTCGTCCTCTGAAGACCAATCCAGACAAACTGGTCAACTCCATTCACACTCTTGTTTAGCTGGATCATGTCGTTCATGTTGTCAACGGTGGCCAGATCTGTGTATTTCTCTCTGCAGTATTTCTGAGCTTCAGTCCAGGTTTTGTTCTCATTTATAAAGTGATACTGACGCTGAACACATTCAGATATGGAGCAGAGAGCTGTGAAAGAGACACTTTGCTTTAATGCTTTTCAGAACAGTCAAACCTAATGAAACTATAAACCATAAATAAAACTACAAACACACTCACCAATGAGGAGAAGAGGGAAATACAGATCTTGAGCCATTTCTGAGGAAGAAACACATTGAAAAACTCAAATGCTTAAAAATAATCAATAATTAAACAGGATAACACGATTCACAATCATCAAGCCAACATTAGTTAAAGACTGTAGATGTGAATAGTTCTTACCTCAGAGCTGGTGTGTTTCTGTCCTCAGTCTGATCTTTCTGTCCTCAGATTAAGTTGTAAATAATCTATATATGCACTCATGCGTTATTCAAATCATATTTATGTATTATTCAAAAACCCCGTTTCAAATTTCACTTCCTTTATACAGTATGTTTTTACTCCACCATTTTCCCCCTATTTGTGTTATGAACACTGCTGCCTAAACCTCGAGGACAGAACTGATGCAAATTATTTTCCTACACTTTGACAGCTACACTAGCTTCATTGTGCTGAGCCCTGATCAAACTGGTTTCCTTTGATTAACTAGTAATATTATTCAGGGTCCTGCTAAGGCAAGTTTACAGCACATTTCTTACACAGTGGCAATTCAAAGTGCTTTATATAAACAAGAATAAAAAAGACAAGTATAAGAAAACAAATGAACAAATAATAGAAATGATTAAAATCATTAAAATGTGTTAACAGTTTCAAAAGAATTTAAAAAAATATGAAAGACATAATAGTGCGATCTGTCTGACGTAGCACAGTGCTCGCAGTGTGTTTTTCTGTGTGTGTGTGTGTGTGTGTGGGGGAGTTGCTCTAAATTTCCCGGTTCCGGTCAGAATCCTGGCAGCAGCGTTCTGGATGAGCTGCAACTGTCTGACTGTCATTTTGGGAAGGCCAGTAAGGAGTCCATTACAGTAATCCACCTTGCTGCTGATAAAAGCATGAACAAGTTTCTCACTGGAAACAAAGCATCTGTCTCTTGTAATGTTTTTGAGATGATAGTACGCTGGTTTACTGACTGCTTTGATATTACTGTTGAAACTCAGATCTGACTCCAGAGTCACACTAAGATTTGTAACCATAGTTTTTGTTGTTTGACTCTTAGAGCCAAGGTACGCATTCACCTTAAGAACCTCATCTTTGTTCCCAAACGCAATAACTTCAGTTTTTTTTTTTTTGTTTAACTGGCACATCCAACTGTTCATTCATCAATGAATGGCAGAGGATGTCAATGGGGCTGTAGTCATTAGGCAGTAAGGCTAAATAGATCTGAGTGTCATCAGCATAGCTGTGGTAGGAGGTTTGGTTCTTTCTCATTATTTGGCTCAGAGGGAGCATATAAAGGTTGAACAGGAGAGGTGCCAGAATCGAGCCTTGTGGGACTCCACATGTCATGGGTGTCCACCTCGACCTATGATCACCTATACTGACATGGTAACCTCTCCCTTCAAGGTAAGATCTGAACCATTTGACGACCGTCCCAGACAGCCCAACCCTGTTTTCCAGCCTATCCAGAAGTATGCTGTGATCGACAGTGGTAAATGCAGCACTGAGATCGAGCAATACCAGCACTGTTAGCTTGCCTGAATCTGTATTTAGGGTATATCATTGATTATCTTTATAAGAGCGCTCTCTGTACTGTGATGTGCTCTGAAACCAGAATGAAAATTGTTACTTTATATATTGTAAACCCATCCAAGATGGCGGCGCGCATTGACGCAGCAGCTCAGAGCTCTCCTTCTTAGTGCTTTGTTTGTTTGTTATTATATGTCTGTTTAATTTTTTTAACCTCAGCCGGTCAGGCGAAAATATTTTATAGTCGACAAGATCTCCTCTCAGTGAGATTACAGAGCAAAGAGACAGTTACAACAATGTTTATTCACAACCACAGCATACCTGAGGACATAGCGGGAACACAAGGATCTCCGTGATTTGTCATACCCGGAAATAATGGGAGGTGGCGGGGTCGGAACAGAAGGCAGAAACGAGAAAAAAGAGCGGGTGTGTGGTAACGACTCAGGAAAACTCCACACATGCCACCTTCACACAGGATTTTGCTGAAGGAAAGGAACATCGCCTTCAAGTCTGGTGACAAGGAGCGTTACAGTGCAGCTAGAGCATTCAGGCATCAGAGGTGCCAAGTTGAAATATAAACACAAAATTGAGGGATACCTCCACAGCAATAATTTGAGACAAGTGTGGCAGGGGATACAAAATATTACAAACTACAGACCCAATCCCAGGTCTGTAGGGGTTGACAACACACTAGCAGAAGAGTTTAACTGCTTCTTTGCCCGCTTTGAACAACAGTCAGCAGAGGAAGCCACATTGTATTCACTATCAAATTCTAGCCATGTCTTCACAGTGGAGGAGGAGGATGTGAGGAAAGTGCTGAGAACAGTAAACCCCAGAAAAGCAGCAGGAATTACAGGGAGGTTGTTGAAAGTCTGTGCAGATGAACTTACAGGGTTTTTTACAAAAATATTTAATCTGTCCCTTAGCCAGGCCATTGTTCCACTCTGTCTTAAGGCCTCAACAATCATCCCTGTCCCAAAAAAGACGACCATCAATAGTCTAAATGACTACCGACCAGTAGCCTTAACCCCTGTTGTTATGAAGTGTTTTGAGAAGCTGGTAAGAAGTCACATCCTCCAAAGACTTCCTCCCGCATTTGTCCTCCCACATTTGATGCCCACCAGTTTGCATAAAGGGAAAATAGATCAACAGAGGATGCCATAGCTATAGCCCTTCACATTACCCTGACCCATCTAGAACATAAAGACAGTTACGCCCGGATTCTCTTCATTGACTTCAGCTCTGCATTTAATACAATAATTCCAAAAAGACTGGTCTCTAAACTAAATCATCTCGGCTTTCCTTTCTCCATTTGCCTCTGGATTCAAGATTTCCTCAGTAACCATTCACAGAGTCAAGGTAGAGCACCACGTCTCTTCAGCACTCTTCAGCAGAATGTGTGCTGAATCCCTTACTGTACACTCTTTATACACATGACTGCACTCCTTTCCGTTTAAGTAATTCTATGCTGAAGTTTGCAGATGATATTGCAGTGGTCGGACTCATCACGGATGGAGATGAGACCGCATACAGAGATGAAGTAAACCAACTGGCTTTATAGTGCACTGATAATAACTTGGCCCTCAATACCTTAAAAACAAAGGAAATCATAGTAATAATAATAATAATAATTCCGTACATTTATATAGCGCTTTTCTGGGCACTCAAAGCACTTTACACAGTGGGGGGAATCTCCTCATCTACCACCAGTGTGCATCCACTTGGATGAAGCGACGGCAGCCATTTTGCGCCAGACCGCACACCACACACCAGCTGATTGGTGGAGAGGAGACAGTGATGCAGCCAATTGAATATAGGGATGGTTAGGAGGCCATGATGGACAAAGGCCAGTGGGCAGATTTGGCCAGGATGCCGGGGTTAAACCCCTACTCTTTTCAAAGGACATCCTGGGATTTTTAACGACCACAGAGAGTCGGGACCTCAGTTTAAAGTCTCATCCGAAAGACGGCGCTCACTGAGCAGTATAGAGTCCCCGTCACTATACTGGGGCATTAGGACCCACACAGACCGCAGGTTGGGCACCCCCTGCTGGCCTCACTAACACCACTTCCGGCAGCAACCTAGCTTTCCCATGTGGTCTCCCATCCAGGTACTGACCGGGCGCAGCCCTGCTTAGCTTCAGTGGGCGACCATGTGAGAGTTGCAGAGAGCTAGCTGCCGGCCAACATAGTAGATTTTAGGAGGAACAGACCAGATACTCTGCCCATACATATACATGGGGACTGTGTGAAGATTGTCAGTAATTTCAAGTATCTTGGCCTGCATCTGGATCAAAACATATCATGGAAAACCAACACTATTGCACTGGTCAAAAGGGCACAGCAGCGACTCCATTTTCTAAGGGTGTTAAAAAATAACAACTTGGCCCAAGAACTGCTAGTGTCCTTTTACAGATGCACTATTGAAAGTGGGCTGTCGTATTGCATCCCAGTGTGGTATGCCAGTTGCACTGCCCAGGAAAAAAGCTGCTCTCCAAAGGGTTGTCAATACAGCGCACAACATCATCAGCTGCACTCTTCCCTCCTTAGAGGAGTTGTTAAAGGCCCGCTGCTACAGCAAAGCATGCAGCATCCTGAAGGACTCGTCCCATCCAGCATACCACCTATTTCAAATGTTACCTTCGGGGAGACGATGTAGAACCATAAAAGTCAAAACAAACAGGCTAAAAAATAGTACAATAATGAATGGACATTAAATTGAGGGTGTTTCTGGTCAAAATTATTTTAATCTTACTTTTTTTAACTTGCTGCTAGGATATGCACTTGCCACTTTATACACTTGGGCATTAAATTGTATGCCTTCTTGGCTCACATTTAATTAACTTTTAAATTTGAAAAGCTGCTTAGAAATGCACTTGCCCTTTTATATGCACATCATACGCACTTTTAATATTGTATTGTAACTCTTCATTTGATTTGATCTTTTTATCTCTTTTTAATTATTGTTGTTGTTTTAGATAAATAGGACTGCACTGAAGGGAAGGGCAAACGTAAATTTCTTTGTATTTTGTACAATGACAATAAAGATTCTGATTCTGATATTGTTAACCTGGTTGAAAACAACTTTCAATGATTTTGCCAATGAAAAAACTGTACAAAAGCACGCACATCTCTCTTAATTGGGTGCTCAGCCAAAACCGCAAAAAGTGCAAATTAAATGTAAATCAAAGGCGGCAACACCAAGGCTCTAAAAATACCTGAATTTATCAGATATCAGAGAGTTTATCAGATGAATTTAGAGAACGATCTTATAAGGAGGAGTGGATACAGTGTGCACATGATCGCTTTACGGATATGTCACAAGAAGAAAGTTTAGTTAAAAAAGTAACAAAAAAGCATGATCGTCGCATTACTTGTTATATGAAATATTCACCAGTGACTAAAGACATCAATAAAGTGCTGTTAAAACACTGGCATATTATTTCAAGTGATCCCACCCTCAAAGAGTGCTTTGATAAGTCACCCCATTTAGTACACAAAAAAACATCTAATATCTGAAATATGTTAGTAAGAGCTGATCTAAAACCCGCTCCACATTTTTTCAAAACACAATACCACAGGGTAATTTTAAATGTGGCAATTGTTTACAGTGTAACTTCACATATAAAACATCTACTTTCACACATCCTCATACAGCGAAAAAATTTAATATTCGAGGCACTATTTCGTGTAAGACAGCGAA